GGCTCCAAAGGCCCCATGGTCTCGGCACAGGAGTCCCAAGCTCAGGCCATTCTCCAGCAGGCCCGGGTGAGCGCGGCCGGGGCGGCGGGGGGCTGGGCAGGCGCGGGGGTGGGTCTGAGGGCGGCTCTGGCTCCAGCCCAGCCCTTCTGGGAGTCGCTGGCCCGAGGGGCCCCGAGGACCTGCCGGCGCTGGGGCTGGGGTGCGCCAAGGGCCTTGTGGACTAAGCTCGCACCCCACCAGCGGAGAGGGAGGCGCCCCTCAGGCTCAGCCGAGGGGGCTCCTGGGCGGGCGGGTGCTTAGCAGGGGCTCTGGACACCCCAAGTGGGCGTGAACCCCGCCAGCCCGGTGGGTCCCCACCAGGACAGCAGCCTTCTCAGTGGCCCCTTTTCTCTGCAGCTGGCGCTGAGGGGCCCGGCCGGCCCGATGGGTCTCACCGGGAGGCCCGGCCCCATGGTGAGTGGTGCCGGGAGGGGCGGGGCCCGGTGAGGGTGGCCCTCAGGGCGCAGGCTGGGGGTGTGGGGCACTCCCCGGGGCTGGTGCCCTCCCCACGTGCTGCTCCCCGTCTGCTCTTGCTTTGCCATGGCCGAGCTCTGGCTGGCAGGTCCAGGCCCATGGCCCGTGCCCACACACTGCCCGGGATTCCCTTTACAGCCGGGAGAGGTGGCCTGAGTCGTGTCTTATCCCTCAGGGCCTCTTGGGGCTGGGAGCCCCCACCCTGCCCCTGGGATCCCCCCAGCCCCCAGGAGACCCGCACCCTGCCCCGGGGAGCCCCCCAGCCCCTAGGAGACCCGCACCCTGCCCCGGGGAGCCCTCCAGCCCCCAGGAACCCCGCACCCTGCCCCGGGGAGCCCCCCAGCCCCCAGGAACCCCGCACCCTGCCCTGGGGAGCCCTCCAGCCCCCAGGAGCCCCGCACCCTGCCCCGGGGACCCCCCAGACCCCAGGAGCCCCACACCCTGCCCCGGGGAGCCCCCGCTGGCCCCCCCACCTCCATGTGCCGTATCCCTAACCCAGGTGTGTCTCCCCAGGGTCCCCCCGGGAGCGGAGGCCTGAAGGGCGAGCCTGGAGACATGGGGCCGCAGGTGCGTGGGCCGCAGGCTGAGACCCCGGTGGGCGGCGGGCGGGAGCTGGCGGCCGCC